GAAGATATTTTGGATTTTTGTGAAGGTGGAAGAATTGAATTTGAGATACTTAAAAATACTGAAATCACACAGAATGAGACCGATATTTTAATGGAAACATGTGAAAAATCATGTGAAAAATTAAAAGCTAATATTGAAGATAAAGAAAAATTTATTACCGATTTGTTAAAAACTAGAGATACTTACAAACCTTTCATGTATAAGGGATTTTTGTATAATATGTTTAGAAATAAAGAAGTTATTTCTGAATTAGGAAATGAAAAGATACATGATTTTGAAATGCAACGTTTAGAAAAGATAGATAACTTAAATCCAAATAAATTACAATGGTTCAATTACCTGTTGAATAAACCTAATAAATTAGATATCGTTAACATGTTTTGGATCGTGAATCAAACATCAAACATGAACCTCGATATAAACAGTCCTCTATTGTTAAAAACTGCAAGGAGATATAAAGATAAATTACATGAATGTTATTGGAAACATGTCGAATGTATAATATCAATTCTTGAAAATATCGAATCAGAAACAGATTGTGAATTATTTACAAATAATGGATTGTACCATGCATTATTCAAAGATAAAAATTTTCAGCAAAAAGTTGATCCTGTATTAGAAGCAAAACATGAAGCTCTCGATGTTTTTATCAAACGAAAAGAAGAGTTAGAAGATTTTTGTCATCTGAGGTTCTTAATAGATGATATGGAAAACACACATGAGTTTGAAGAATTCTTACCAAACGGTGATTATAAACCATATTTTTGGAAAGATAATTATAGAATTAATGAAAGTGATGAAGAACTTGTTAAAAAACACTGGGTCGAGAAAATGAAAAAGTTTACAAAAGATTTAAATGATAAAAACATCAATTGGTTAGAATATATCAAGAAGGAATTACTAAAACTCATAGAAGATGATCCCGCAATAAAAATAAAATCATTCCGTGAAAAATATAATGAGAAAATCAAATGACGTATTGAACGTAATAAAAAAGATAAGGATCCTTTAGCTTACCTTATCTCAATCTTGAATTTATATCCAGATATTAAAAAAGAATTGTTAGAAATACTAGATAAGATTATTAAGGGTGAAGAAGTTACCAAAGAGGAAATTGAAAAAATTGGAACAATCAAAACAAATATTCCATTCACACCACCCATCATAAAACCTTCAGATGATTCTAAAAAAGATTTGAGTGAAACTGAGAATAATCTACAAAAGGATATTGAATCGATAAAAAAGGAAATAAAAGATCTTGAAAAAGAAAAATCAAAAGCAAAAAGCATTTCTGAAATCATCGATCTAATCGAAAAATTAGCAAAGGATCGATTACTTGCAGATGATAAAGAACAAACCTTGAAGGACATAAAATGGTTAAAGAGACAATTAACCTTCACAACACTCACCAAAGATGAAGCAAATGATATAATTAAAAAATTCTCGTTAGAAAGTCGTGGTAAAGACCGTGTTGATTATCTTAAAGAATTGTTTGATGAACATTATAGCGAAGAAACAGTTGAAAATCTATTAAACGATTTCAAAAAGAATCAAGCTATTCCCGCATTAAATCATGAAAGTTCTTTACATTACAAAACTATTAATGAATTAAAGAAAGAAGCTGAGAAAAAAGAAATCACCGATGATGAAAAAGAACAAGTTAAAACATTAACAGAAAAATATAATGGAAAAATAAATAATATAAAAATCAAGAAAAGCATACTAGAAGGTAAACCTATTGAACCCGATGAAATTGAACTGCCAGAATTTGAAGGTTTAACTGATGAAGAACAAAAAAGATTACAAAAAATCGATCAAATAATCAAGACATCGAAATCGGCGAAAGAATTAGATGATAAGGAAAAACTTGATTTGGAAATTGATATGATCTGTAACAAATACCCCGAAATTAGAAAAGATTATGATAAACGTCGAAGAGAAAGAAGAGATTATGTTAAGATATACGATCAAATATTAAAAGAAATAAATGATAAAAATGTAAAGATTGAAGATTTAAAACATGATGAAGGCGCTATTTCGAAAAAGATTATCAATCAATTAAAAGATAAACCTTTAGCAAAAGATCTGTTTGATGAATTGCATGAAAAATGTAACGAGAAATACACAGAATTAATTGCAAATAACGCAGAAGAATTAGCAGAAGAATTAAAAAGACAAATCAATAAAGAGAAAAACTCAAAAAATCTCGAGAATATCAAGAAAAATGTTGATAAATTAAAAGAAACTAATGCTGAATTGGGTGAGAATGTCGAATCATTACTAGAACAAAGATTAACACGAATCAAAACATATGAAAAAATATTAGAAGATATTAACAAAGAATCGGATATTGAAAAATTAAACGATAAAAAAGAAATCGATGAAGAAATTCAAAAATTAAAACAGGATGATACCGAATATCCAAACAATCTCATTACCGAATTGACAAAACAACGAAATATCAAAAAAGAAAAAGTAATTGAAACAAATAAATATAACGAATATGAAGAAATCATCAATGCTCCATTTGACCATCCACAAACTTTGATAGATGCGATAGATTTGGATAAGATTAAACAACTTGATAATGATAAATTATTAGATAATAAACAAAAAATTAATTTAGAAAATTTATACAGAAAAAAACTTAATGAATTAAACACAAAAGTTGTTCAAGAAGAAAAAGAAAAATATAACAAGATTGAAAAAATGATCAAAGAATGTGAAGACCCCGTTCTGCTCAATTCGGAAATGTTTGATGAAATTTACAGGTTGATTGAAAGCATTGATGAAAAAATTATTGGGCACGGAAGTAGATATAATTTAAACTATTTAAGAGAAACCAAAAGAAAAGAATTGATAAAAAAAACTTGACCAAGAATTGTGATAATGTCTACGATATTACAAAAACAAGCATGGGAAACCTTTTTTACAGAAAATAACATTTCAGATGAAAATTTAAAGATTGCATGGAAATACAAATCAGGGTTGTCAGTTGATGAAGCAAAAGCATGTGTGAAAAATGGTTGGATTATTAACGATGAAATAAAAATTGTTAACAAAAAACTTAATTATAGAAAATTTCCAAATATAGACGTTGTAAAGATAAATAAAGAAATTTTTGATAAAGCAAGTGATATATGTGATGAAATTTTAGATCCTAATAAAAAAACCTTTATCTCCTTACCTGAAAACTTTAAAAAAGAAGATATTGAAAAAT